CCCCCCACCACACACACACACGGACACACATATACACTCGCAAAACGCATGTTGATATAGTGTTAACGAACAAACATACAGCTTAAATGCTAACCTACACATTTGATTTCGCTGACGATGGCTATTCAGTTGTTGGCGGTATAATTGTTTATTAATGTCTTCAGCTTTACAATCGAGAAACGATAGTCTTGTCGCCTCGTTCTATCTATAGGCACGCGTGTACACTTGTCAAGCCAGTATAACCGTTCTATATCGCCGAATTTCACACTTTTCTGCGTGCCCTTCCAAAAGTGCCGAGCTTGCTGCAAATATCGGATCCTGGAGTCGCGAAAACTGACCAATTGCAAGGTCTGATTTGGACCAGAGAACCAATCAGGCAGCTGGGTGTCGGACAATTGAAATCTGTCGGCATCTAATTAGCGGTCGTTATAAATTCACACTCCACCGTCCGCCGACTACTCTTTTGGTCTTGCACTTGAGCGTAGACGAAGTTCATCCGACATGGCCCGTACCAAGCAGACTGCCCGTAAGTCTACCGGTGGCAAGGCGCCTCGTAAGCAGCTGGCCACCAAGGCTGCCCGCAAGAGCGCGCCGGCTACTGGCGGCCGTGAAAGAAGCCTCACCGCTACAGGCCCGGCACCGTGGCCCTGAGAGAGATCCGCCGCTACCAGAAGTCGACGGAGTTGCTCATCCGCAAGCTGCCCTTCCAGCGCCTGGTGCGAGAGATCGCCCAAGACTTCAAGACCGACCTGCGCTTCCAGAGCTCGGCGGTCATGGCCCTGCAGGAAGCCAGCGAGGCCTACCTGGTGGGTCTCTTCGAGGACACCAACCTGTGCGCCATCCACGCCAAGCGTGTCACCATCATGCCCAAGGACATTCAGCTCGCACGTCGCATCCGTGGCGAGCGTGCGTAACGAGGATCCGAACAAGATCGACAACCCCGGCCCTTTTCAGGGCCACTCACCTATTCCAGAAAGATCTATATCGTTCACGTTTCTTCAAACAGCCAACACTTTTTAAGTTGCACCAGATAGAAATAAAAATACGCCATGCATTTATGCATTCACCACCTCATGCCTTTACATATGAAACAAAACAACAGACAGAAGAACCACTAACGCAGACAAACGCACACAATACATTAGACGTACACAACACGTGTTTATCCACTCCGATAACATACTTTGTAGAAACGTTGTGCAATAATATCTGTATTATGTGCAACTATAGGACTGTCAGCGCCATGATATAGCAAGTTTTTCCTCGTGTGATCATGTGTAACGCTATTTGGAATTGTTTAGAAGGAAGTGTGACGTGGAAGGTTGCGACTAGATGATCTAAAAATCATGTGCGTGGTGTGCGATCTATTTGCAGTTTTGTTACTTTATTGTACAACAAGTCAACAATCGTAAGATATGTGTAGATATGATGATAGATACAGTTCTTTCGAGAGGATGTGGGTGGCCCTGAAAAGGGCCGGGGTTTGGTGATGTGGGCCTCCGTCTTGAAATTACTGAGCCTTGCTGGTCTTCTTGGGGAGAAGTACGGCGTGAATGTTGGGGAGAACGCCGCCCTGAGCAATGGTGACGCCGGACAGCAGCTTGTTCAACTCCTCGTCGTTACGGACGGCCAGCTGAAGGTGACGGGGGATGATTCTGGTCTTCTTGTTGTCGCGAGCGGCGTTGCCAGCCAGCTCAAGGATCTCGGCCGTCAGGTACTCCAGCACCGCCGCCAGGTACACCGGCGCGCCGGCACCCACGCGCTCGGCATAGTTTCCCTTGCGCACTGCGGTGAACTCGGCCAACCGGGAACTGGAGACCCGAACGGGAAGAGCGGCTCTTGGCCTTGGCGCGTGCCTTGCCTCCTTTACCACGTCCAGACATCTTGTAGATTGATTTAGCGTCAAACGGCAGAGAAAGAATGAAAGGGACAATGGTCTGCCCAACCAATTTGTACCCCGCTGCTGGATCGACAGCGAACCAATAGGACGAGCTCAGTATTACCGCGAGTTAATTTCTACCACGTCCGCAGCCTTGGACTAGACAATCCAACAATTTGCATTCTTCCCGGATATAAAAGACAAAGCCGGAACGGGTGCAATAATTCTTTGCTGTCTAAATCGCCAAGAATATCGTCATGCCGCCAAGTGGAAAAGCCACCAAGAAAGCTGGCAAAGCCAGGCCAGTCGGAGACAAGAAGAAGGGAAGGAGGAGAAAGAGGAGGGAGACGTTCGGCGTCTACATCTACAAAGTGCTCAAGCAGGTGCACCCAGACACCGGCGTCTCCAGCAAGGCCATGGGCATCATGAACTCATTTGTCAACGACATCTTCGAGCGCATCGCCGCCGAGGCTTCCCGTCTGGCTCACTACAACAAGCGCTCCACCATCAGTAGCCGCGAGATTCAGACCGCCGTCAGACTCCTGCTGCCGGGCGAGTTGGCCAAGCACGCCGTCAGCGAGGGCACCAAGGCCGTCACCAAGTACACCAGCTCCAAGTAGATCGACCGCCGCTGCTCGACATAACCCCGGCCTTTTTCAAGGCCACCCACATCCCCACAAAAGAGCTGTTTCAATCACAATATACACTCCGACAATATACACATGTACACACTAACCTGTGACCGTAGCTAGCAGCAAGACTATCCACGTACACGGTCACTATGTCCTGCGTGAACTGCAACGCACAACAACAGAAAGAAAGAAAAACAAGTCAAGTTTATTCTGACGTAATAAAAGTCTGAACGCGTTCTTTCTTGCCGAACAAGGAGACCTTCTGGAGCAAATGTCGCTTACGACGTTCCTTAGAACAATATGGTTTGTTTTGGCCGTTGCAGGGCGGCGTTCTTGTCCTGTCTAGACATACTCATACTAGTAAACAGTGTGTGTGTTTTAATATACATGTACATATATCTGTGCCTGCGTGCGTGCGCACGCGTGTGTGTGTGTGTGTGTTTTCTATCAGTGTTGCATATGTAGAGATTTCATTGTACATGGATTTAAGGTTGTTTTGCTATGACAAATAAAGAGTTATATATAGTTTTCCAAGGAGTAATGTGAACGTCTTAACCGATTCTCCCAAAAGCCTTGCCCAGTGCGCTTCACAAGTTCTAAGTTGTTATTAGTGCCACCGTGACAAGCAGGAAAACAGTTCGCCTGACGAGTACAGATGTACAGAACATTTCTGATTTGTATATTTGATATCACTTGTTCCACTAGATCGCCTGTCCAATAGGGCGCTGTCTGGCAACTTTACTGCTTCGGCGATCGACCTTCGCATTCTGGCGATCGACCTTCGCATTCTGGCGATCGACCTTCGCATTCTAGCGACCGACCTTCGCATTGTGGCGATCGACCTTCGCATTCTGGCGATCGACCTTCGCATTGTGGCGATCGACCTTCGCGAACGTTGTTGACAGTTTGGTGCCGGCTTAACGGTGCACGTTGAGTGATAGTCCGTTGTAAAAAAGTGACGAAAGGGTTTTGAGGGTCCAAGTTTGAGGTGACATTTCTCATAAACTGCCACGATATATCATTAAACATTAACATGGCTGAAGAGTGTAAGAAATGGTGATTTTGGGGTTAAAATTTCTTTTGGCTCCGAACCTAACTTCCGGGTATCCTTGCGCGCCAAGTGTAATCCGCCCGTTTGACCTAGATTTTGCTCTGCGCCTTCGTAGGGGGATTT